CCCCAAAACCCCAAAACCCCAAAACCCCAAAACCCCAAAAAATTAAAAAATATTTAAAAAACATAATAATTTGTCAAAGCCATGATTGTCCCTATTTTCACATTCTTTCACCTTTATTTTGATATAATCTTTGGTAATATTGTGTGAACATACTGAATTTTTGTGAACATCTGGCTCTTTTTTACCCAAGCTAAAGAAGAACCCCTGTTTTACTTCTTGGGACCTTTTGGACTCATCCTTTGGGTCATGATGTACATGTACTTTATGATCAGCAGTGAATGACTTAAAAAGCAGACATGAACAATACAAGCACTTTGTGGATGAGGTGTGAGCAGATTAACCTTTATTAAGCAAAAAGAAACCCGCTATGTTACTTATTTGGTTATTATAAGTAAGTCACGTTTTAAAATCAACTTCTTTGTTGATAAATAATTAAATTTTGCCAAAAATATGCTTTGAAATCTTATAATTTTTAACCAATCTGTTTCCACCATTAACTTAATTCCCTGGCAGACATTATCTGAAAATTTGAGCAGTCTCCACCATTGAAAATTTTGACAATACAGAAGAACAAATTCCAATAATGTTTTGAGCTCATGACTAACCCTTCTAATACAGTTTACATCTTGGCTTTCACGATCGGAGCAAGCAATAGTTCAAGGACAGGGCCAGTGATGGCAATGTTTGCTTTCACATGAGTTGCTCTAGTAATTGGTAATCTCCCTATAACATGTAGATATATTCCTGGCTGTAGTCAAGATCTCTCTCTTCCTTCTAATGGTATTGGTAATCTACCTATTTGCCCTCTGTATTTGCTCTGAAGAGAAATAGGGCTGAACTGTTTGAAAACCCAGAGCCTTCAGAAGAAGACGAGTCTGAAGAAAGCTCACTCGAACTTGAAGAATACACTGTCAATGGCTCTGATAGTGAAGAAGAAGAGAAAGATCAACAGTACGAAAACGCTCGCAGATTCAGAATCCGAAGAAGAGCAGTAGGATTGAGATGTCTTATTTTGTAGAACAATAACCAAGGCGAAGAGGTCATCGAGGAGAAAGGAATCAGTGACCTCCTTACAATGATTTTTCAAAAAGGCAAAAAGAGGTTTGGCTCAAATAAGAAGAAAAAGAAAGAACAAGAAGAGTTATTTTGACCTATTTGTCGAGTAGCTTTTGAAGATAAAGATGAAGTTATTGAACTTAAATGATCAGAAAACCATATCTTTCATGAGGACTGTATTAAAGACTGGCTTGTTATGAAACAAGACTGCCCTCTCTGTAGAAAAGAAGTGTTTGAAATGTCATATTCTGATTCAATCCAAGAAGAATCAGTAGCAAATGAAGTAGAAAGTAGTCGTTCTCAACAACCAAATCGAGGTGATTAAATATTAACCCACAGAATTTCCAAAATGTGTTTGATCTAGTTATTATTCACCAATTCTTTCCAGTGCTAAATTTTTGGGAGTCTCTAACACTATCATAGCTAAAAATAAAGTGAAGAATAAAAACGATCTTCGATATGTAAAAGAACTGATAAAAGAGAATGCAGAGTTAGATAAGTACTCTGATCAGACTGAAAATCGGGATTTTACTAATAATTTTTCAGGTAAGAAACACTAACAACAGTCGGAACCGATGGATTAACATTAGAAATAGTGCCTAGTGCAAGACAAGAAGAATGTAAAAGCAGCAATAGGTCAATGAGTAACTTTATATCTTAATATTAGGAATTCTTATGAGCTCCAGGAAGCATGAAGAGCCGCTTGAAAGGAGATATAAATCCAGGCAAAATAAGAGGTTAGATCAGACAATTAGCGATATGAACAGCTCACATTCAATTCTCAATCAGCCGAAATCTGTAATTTATGATAAGGAAATTTTAGATCTATGATGATGAGAAGAAAGCCATAAGTAGGAAAAAGAAGAAGAAAGTAAGAAAGGTAAAGAAAATTAAAAGAAAAACTAAAGCCAAAGCCGACAAAGCAGCCAGTCATGGTTCAAAGAATCTGTATAATAATGAAATTGAACAGGATGCGAAGTCTGATGGGCTTATTTTGAACCAAATATTTGATTCAACTATGTCTTTCAAAGGTAATTTACTTGTCTTACCTACAGACTCTACAAAATCTTATAAGGTTATTAAAAAGAACACGATTCTTGAGAAAATGACCCATAAAGACATCAGTAAGAACGAAAGTAAGAGAAGTCGAAAACAGAGCAACCTGATTTCAGGCTCAAAATCTTCACTAAAGAATGAAACCCGGATTCTTCCATTTGAGAAGCCATCAGAGACTGACTCTGTTGGACCAAAAGAAGATAATGTGTAATTAATTAAACTTTTTACCAGTATATGGGGTTTTGGGGTTTTGGGGTTTTGGGG